AGAATAGACTTTGTGATTTACACGACCACTCTCTGTGCTGCTAATTGAGTGTCATTTATCTTCTGTAAGGTGTAAATATAAAAATATATATATAAGCACAATGTCAAAAGTAGAGAAGTCAAATGTGGCTTTCATTTACTTTAGATTTATAAGAAACTAAATATGAGGAGCATGTAGTTTAAATCTATATTAAGTCATCATCAAATGTTTTCTTTAAACGATCTTGGAGTCATTTCAGGTCTCAACATTGTGTGAATCAGGCAGGTAAAAAAAACAAAAGCAAAACAAGAACTTTTATGATATTCATGAAAGGAAACAAATAGTGATGCTGAAAAAAGTGAAGCATGTATAAAGATTTTAAAACGCCAGGAAAAAACAGGCTGTGAAATAATTCTCTGGAAAGAATGTGGAAGACACAACCCAAATAATCAAACAGCTATCCACAGATAGTAGAATAAACAATAAAAACTACATATATCGTTGAACATTGTTCTAGCTCTGGAATCTCTATAACCTGGGCCTTGCTTTACATAGTCAATGATTTACCCAATATTTAATTAGTTAGATGTGTTTAGTGCTTAATTAGATTAGATAAGATATGTTTTCTCCTATTAGTTATACAGTTTTTTAAGGAACATCATGTACAAATTGCACAAAGATGTTAGTTTTTTTATTTTATAATCTAAAAAGAGTATTTCTAAACATAATATGTCAAAGTTTAAATGTGTTAAGAAAAAATAAACCATTCCAAAAATTGTTTTAAAAGCTAATTAACAGATCCTTGTTTCAAGCTGTAAATTATCCAGGAGAATCATGCACGCTACTTTTAATGTTATCTACATTTCTTGTTTTAAAGCTGAGGATGACATAATGTGTGTGTTTGTCCGGATTTTAACATCTACACAAATTTTATATTATAAGTCGCTGCCTGTTGATCTAACAATACATCTGTTATCTCTTTACTCAGGGAATGTATAGTTGCTGTCAGTTTGAGGATGAGACGGCACCAGGAGGGAGCAAAAGCTCCTTGCCCCAGTACCACACTGTGACTACCATGCCCTCTGTCCCCCAACAGCACCTCGTTACAGCTACAGTCAACAACACGACTGCCATTGCCATGGTGCAACAGCAACAGCCGAAGCACCACCCACAGCAACAAGGGCAGACCTACACCACTATGCTCCCTGGATCACCACCAGCTACAGGACATTCAGCAATGGCTCTGGGTCCCTCAAACAGCCCTTTATTGGAGGGCCCCATGCCTTGTTCCACCTTTTTGCCTCGTCATGACCGCAGACTGGCAGTGGTTGATCGATGGAACAGGCCAAAGCCAGAAAAGGTCATGAGCGGAGGTAGCAGTGGAGGAGTAGGTGTTGGGGGGATTGCAGGAGGGATTACCGATCTACAGTCGCAGCAGCAGTTTCAACAGAGCCTTGGAATGCACTGGAGTCTACAAGGAGGAGTTACAGGTGGAGTAGGAGGTAGTGGCGACACAGGGCTTGATGAATATAAGCGCTATTATGGTCCTATAGATCCAGAGGGGTTGGGGGCTAACTTGGACCAACAAGCAGGAGGCCCTCAGCAGACTCCCAAAACCAATTCTCGAGGCTTTAAAGCCCCAGGGATACCAAGGCTGCCTCCTAAAGGTCCTCATCAAGGACAAGCCCACCTAATCTCTAAGCCGCCTCCACCAATCCCATGCTCTCCACGACGGCCTCCATTCTGGCGACGAGGAAGCCTTGTACAGACAAGGAGAAAGGGCTCAGGAGGTCCTCTATATGAGAATATACTCCCTCTAGGAAGACGGGGAGGTGGAAGATACGGAGCAAGTGATGGTGTTGGAAGAAGAGGACGTCGCCCCCCTCCTCCTCCTCTTCCAGTCCCCCTTTCTTCCCCAACACATACCCCTACCACTCCCTCTTCCCCATGCCGTTTCTACTCATCCTGTTCCAGTGCCTCGTCCTCTTCCTCTTCCTCCTCCTCATCTTCATCATCCTCTTCATCCTCTGGGTCACTTTCTCGATCCAACTCCCCATCCTCTTGCACCAGTGACAGCTCCTATAACTCTTCGCTAAGTTTCCGGTATCGTGCGGGCGATCGGGATTTCACGGTAGATGATGAATATGACTCGGACCTTCTCACAGAGGAGTCCAGCCTTCTTCTAGGGTCACGGAAAAAGATTCGCTCACGACGCATGTCATCGCGTTCACTGCCATGCAGCCCCCCGCCTCCTCCAATACCACCACGAAAACCACACCCGCAGAGAAATTATGGTAGAGAGAGAACCAGCAGTCAACTGGCCCAGTTGCAGGAGTGGTGGGCATCATGGGGTGACCGAGAGCGAGGAAGGGGAGGCATGACAAACAAAGGAAATGCAGCTTTGGGCAGAGATGAGAAGAGACATCACAAAGAGAGGGAGCGTGAGAGAAAAAGGAGGAAGAAAGGTCGGAAAAAGAAGAAACGAGAAGAGAGGGAGCGGGAACGAGAGCGAAAGCGACGTAAAGCAAAGAAGAAGAGGAAAAAAGATGACAGGTTAAGGAAGAGAGAGCGCAAGAGATCTGAGCTGGAAAGTGGAGATCAAGAGAAAAGAGAGGAAGGTAAATCAGAAATGCCAGAATTCCCACCATACCCGCCTTCAAGGCGAGAGTCGTTTCGGAAAAAGAGTGAGAGCTCCATCCGAAGCTATGGATGGAACATTCCAGGTGAAGAGGAAAGAAAAGAAAGGGAGGAGAATAAAAGGGAAGATGGCGAAGAGAGCAGAGGAAAGGATAGACACCACAGGCGAAGAAACATCAAGCATCACCATAGCTCCGGTAATAAGCCTTCTACATCTGTTAAGTTCTGGGGTGGGGGCAATCCTTCTGACAACATTCCATCTGCCTTTCTGCCCTTGCTACCCGTCTCTTCTAAAAGAAGAAAAAGTAAAAGTTCTGACAGAGATGCTGTGTGCATGGAAGGAGAGAGGAGGCCATTGTTGGGACGGAATGAACGTGGTGAAATGCACTCGAAGGAAGGGCTATCCTTTCATGAGTGGGAGTCTGAAGTTGAGGGAAGAGAGGAAGATTCTGAGTCAGAGAGGCGGAAAGCAGATCATGGAAAAAGGCACGGAGGAAGTAGGACTTTGTCAGATGAGGATCGAGAACGTGATAAAGTAGTTGGGATATATTCCGATGATGACGGTTCTTCAGGAGAATTTGGGAAGTTTGAGAGATACTGGGAGGATCATGAAGGTAGGGCAGTGGGTGGGATTGGAGGAGGAGGTTGGTTTTTCAGCACGTATCCCTCAAGGGACAAAGCGGGCACCATCAACAGCAGAGACGATCTCTTCCTAGAGAGAGGAGAAAGGTGGGGGACAGCAGAGACTGAGTGGGGTTCTAGTGCAGTTGGAGGTGGCGGTGGTGGAGGAGATAGAGAGTGGGGGTCAGGTTCACACTGGCCCCCGCCGCCTCTCACGCCACCTCCTCCTCGAAGATACTGGTCAGTGGACAAGCTTCACATACAAGATGAGAAGAAGACCAAACGCAAGTCTAAAGACAAGGGAAGGGGACACACAGCTTGTTCGACCTGTCAATCCCCCCGACACCATCCGCACTACGCTAAATGGGCCCGTGTAACCTCACGAAGCCAGGAAGAGCTGTACCCCCACTGCCAGAATTTTGGTGGTCCCTTAAAGCCAAAACATGATTCCACATCATCATCCAAGCCTGACCGATCGCATAATCCATCGAAATCTGGAAGCCAGTCAAACCTCAGCATTCAGCAACGGACACAGAGAACAGACAGGGATCGGGATCGAGGAAGACCACCATCCCCACCTTCTTCTCTCATTCCAAACTTGCCATCCCCACTCCCTGCCCTTCCAGCTCCTCCCTCCTCAGTTCACTCTATCCACGTTCCTCCCCTCACATCTTCTTCTTCTGTATCTTCTCCCTCGGTGGTCTCGTCCACACCGGGGGCGCCCCAGGCCTCCTCAATGGCTTCGGCAAGTGCCAAACTACAGTACCAGAGACTGCGCTCCGTACCCCAGCCCCAGAGGTTTCCTCAGTCTCCTCATTTACCCCTTAAAGCCAAGAGCCTGTGCTCACGAAGAGGATCAGCCCATTTCTCCAGTGTGGAGAGTGAAGTCTGAGGTTGAGCAAGGTTTCACGATTTATAAGAAAGCCCTGCGAGGCTAAGATTAGGGGGAGGACCTGCAAATGTGGCTGCACAGCAACAAACAGGGCTACACAGCCAAGTCAGTACAGCTCTGAGCCCTTTTCCCTAAAGTTCTGCACAAACAAACCTGAAAGCCAAACAAACCCAGGGGATTATGTCAAGGGAACACAGGACTATTCATGTTTTTACTGTTGTTTCATCATAAATCTACAAGTGTGTGAAAGACAAGAACTACATCAATGACTTTCTGAAATGTGCTAAACAAAAATAAATCAAACTTCAAAAGTGGTACAAGTAACGGGGGCCTAATCGCTTTTAAAAGTAAAGACTTTATAAGGTCAGGAAGAAAGTTAGTGTTTTCAGAGAAACTTAATTCTTGGTGAGGGCTCAGGAACTTTATAGTACTTTATGCCCACTGCTCTCGGAAGCCTTTAAACACAGTAAACTGTTTGTTTGCTTTGTTGTTCATTTCTTCGTCCTTTTAAAAATCTTAATTTTCCTTTTCCTTGACAAACTGTTTACACCCCTGCAGAACTGTGACACCCACCTGAGGCATCTTTCTTACATAATTAATGCCTTCTTGGTTAGAGAGACAAGAGGGTGATGACCACATTTCTTCTTTTTTCTTTTGTAGAAATTTTTACTTTGCTTCTTTTTATTCACTTGATTGTTTCTTTATTCTGTACCTTTGTTATTTTTTGGATGTGCCTTTTGTTCCCCACTTCTTTACGTAATTATTTCTTTTTTTTATTCCATTTCTCTTGTCATACCGTCCTGTTCTCCCCTCTTGGCTCCTCTCCTTGATGTGATTATTCTGTATGTCTGTGCTTTTCTGTGTTTGTATTCTTGACAACAGGGTAAGTCAGCTGTGACTGATATTCTTCTGGCTTAATGAAAAGCTGAGTGCCAAACTTAAGTAGAGTTCAACATCAAGTCTATATAATGTTAGCAGCTGTGTTTCTTTTTATCTTGCAGAGTATTACATCATTTCCATAATGCGCACGGACACATGCTTATAAATGTGAAGACACACTAACACTCATATACAAGTTCATGCAGGAAACATTAACAAGTCAACTTATCTACTCTCCTTCTTTAGCAATACATTATCCAACCTTTGTGTTAGAGCTTTACACTTCAACACCATGTCTTTCTTTTTGTGTCATATTTGTTGTTGCTATTGATGGTGTACTATATGTCAAGACATGTATTAAATCAAATACAATGTAATCACTGTGCCATTCTCAAGCTTGGGTACACAAATTGTTCTCTTAACTACCTAACAACAGAAATGGAGGCAGTTTTTTTGTTCCCTGCCTGTATTCAAATGAATGTAAAGTCAGCCGCCAACACGTGTGCTGCAACATTTACTGTAAGACACTTGAAGATGGGATTTGTAGCATTCTGGAGGGTTAATTTGATTTGCATGTTTAGGAAAAGGGACAAATAGCGTACACATGTGAACTAAATAAAAAAACCCACATTTTAAGAGGGAAAGTGCAATACATGCTAAAGAATTAGAACTACAGTGGAATCAAACTGATTTACCCTTTGTGTTTTGTTTATTGTGACTCATGCAAGATGTATAGTTAATGCCAAGGCCAGGAATAAATTCAAATTATTTCCAAAACCTGTCAACCCAGGTTTGCTTACCATCTGTTTAGTTTGTCAGGTGGGGTTTCACAAGGTGTTGGGGGGGGGGGGGTAGCCTTATGCTAATTGTTTTCGTCATATATGATGTGTTAAGTATGAATATGAAGATGAAACGGATCAAACAAGGATTTTATTGGTTCATAACTACAATTAGTGCCAGAGCCGTTTTGATGTCACTTGAATTGTGCTTCTGTTGGTTGTAAGAAGATTGATGCATTTTAGCTCTGATTAAGAGAAACATTTTTGTGTATTTTTTTTACTTAGTTAAAAAATGCATTTCTTATTTTCTAAATGTGTTTATTTTCTAAATGTGTAACCATGAGATTAAGCATTTTGATTATTGACCTGGCTGACACCAGCAGCTACACTTAAATGCCAAGCACTTAGCAGGAAGTGAAAGTTTGAAATCAATTTTAATTTAAATCTGTTTGAATTGAATTTATAGTCAATTTATTTATTTTTTTGTATGAGGAAACAGAGCCTAAGTGAAGTGTTGAAAACGAGATTTTTTTTTTTTTTTAGTTGCTAAAAATTCCTGAGCCATTTTTCCCAAAAGTCTGGTCAGCTCATGTTGATCACCTGGAACTGCATCTGAGCCATAATTTACTTTGATGAAAACAAAATAAATATTAAGTTTTTAACAATAAATTTGTCATATAGAGTTAGTCTTATTTTCACTGAGAAATATATATATTTCATATGTATGTATGTATATATTTGTGGCAGTTGCTAACATAATAGAACAATTTAAGTCTTAATAAGACTGAGATATTTTAAAAAGAAAGTTCAAGTAATTATGGTGAAATGCATCATTTTAAATTCAATTCAAAAATACTTTATTGATCCCAGAGGGGAGTTAGGTAAAGGGTTACAATCCCCTTTAAAAGACCTCAAAGTTGTTTGGCTTTGCACTTTACAATTGACAATTAATTTGAATTTAACTGAAATGAGGAAAAGTATTGTGCGATATGTTTTGAAGCAGTCACAGAGCAAGCAACTTTATTTGCATTCAACCAATAAAAGGCCTTGACGCACTAGAAAATCTTAGACAACTTGTGCCAACTTACTAAAAAAAATGACTAAATTACCAATAAAAGTTGTTTTGATCAATTTGTAATCATTAAATTGTCTAAAACATAGTGCGACAGGGGCTTAACCCAATTGTGCTTCAAAGTCGTTGCTGAAACACTACAATACTGGTCAGCAATACACATATGTATTTGTACACAAGCTCAATTGCACAACAGCTAGTGATGGTGTGAACACAAAACAGACTTCTCTTTTCTTTTTAAATAGGCCTCCACTCTTTTTTTCCTGTTTCTTCTTTTTCCTCATGTCTATCCATTGTGCCCATCTGTGTCTGCAAATGTAAAACTGATCTATTAAAAAAAGAATATACGTGGCTATATTTATTTCATCTAAAAAAGAGCATATCTCTATATGTATATATGATAGTATATTTCAAGACTATAATATATGTTATCTGAGTTTGTCTACTAAATTTATGGTATTATCTCAATGAAAATGTCTTTTTTCTGTCTGTCTTTCCTCGTCTCAATCCTACTGCCCAGCTCCCTAAACCCAAGTGAAAACAGAGACCAGTACGAAAACTGTGTTTTTGCTCACTTCAGACCAACCATCCGCCTCCATTAGCTATCTAACATAGCTAATGCTAAGAATTCAACATAGTGACAGAGGAGAGCGAGTGTCTTATGACCGTGTCACTGTAGCAGTGGTGGTGTGTGTTTGTCTACCCAGAGGGGCCTTTTTTGATTTGGGCTACAGATTATTAACAAGTCTTTTACGGAAACAGCAGCTTTTACCACACAACTCTCTCACATGTAGGGGGGAGGGGGTCTTATTCTGGATCCTCAGATCTGTGAGTTTATACCATAGTGGACAGTGAAGTGACCTCTTGAAAACACAATGTAGCGAGCAGCACAGGCTTTTTTGCATTTTTAGTAGCTGTATGACAATAAAAAAAGACAGAGAAAGAAGAAAAAATGCACAGCCACCCCTGCCGACCAACCTGTATGATATGTTTAAGGACTTTTTATGTATCTGCCAAGCTGCTGTGCTGTAAAACAATAAAAAGGAAAATCAAAACCACACTCTTCACACATGGTTTCTTTCTTAACTTTATAAAATTGATGAAAGTGTGCACACATGTTAGTGAAAGAGCTAAATTTGCTGTTTGTGTTCCTATAAAGGCTAAACATGGCTTCTCCAGGGCTTTATTTAACAGCTTTGATATTTAAATGGTGAGTGTGAACTTATCAGTTTTGTGTCAGTTGTGCCATTTGCACATTTCCCTCTTATTGTTCATCTACAAGTGGATAGTTGTGTCTTTGCTTCTTCTTCATAATGTACATGTTTGTCATGCCCAGTATAGTATTATTTCCAAAAAATTGTGTATTGATGCTACCAACCAGAGTCAAACAGAATAGTCACAGTAATGCCTGTTTTCTCTCAATAATTTAGCAGATTTCAGGATATTTTTTATTATTATTTTAACAACAACAACAACTAGAAGCACTTGGAGAGTGCAAACCTCCGCCAAGACCAATTTCCCCCATCCTGTAAGAGTTAATGCACTAAAGCAGAGATGGTAACACATTTGCTGAATAAGTTCTGACGTAGTGAACATTTAAGCAGGCAGTATGCACAGGATTTCTTCTCAGTGGAGTCCAATATAAAAAAAAAAATCATCACCCGACGTTATTCATGGTCAAACTGGTGTGGGATTAAGCTCCTAAGTTTTCATCAGTCACATTTCCCCATGTAAAACATCTGTTTTATCTCCTTGTATGAGTTTGTAATGGTTTGACTCTTTTTATAAAGTGCTTTCTGGCTCCCCCCGTCTCCAAACTTTGAGGCCCAGCAGCTCTCTGTTTACAAGCCTAGAAGAGAGAAACTGTTTTGACTGGTTGTTTCGGAAATGTGGTGTGTTTGAGCAAATGGGAAAATAGGTTTCATGGTGCAGTCACACACTTCCTGGTCACAAAATGTTCTGTAAATGTGCATATGGCAAAAATTATCCATCATTAAATGTGGTTTTAACATTACTTTTATAAAGTTTGAAGTCCGTGCTGTCCAATCCAGCTCACTGTTATTTTAGAGAAGCCCTGTGAAAGCATCACAGCTTTGCCGCTCTCAGAGTGTTAAAAGAAAAAATTCCTGTATCCGCACCGTGATCCGGAACATCACCAAAATTTAAAGGTGTGTTCCTTGGCCCAGTACCCACATGTGGTAAAAATGACATGACAATCCGTCCACAAGTTTTTGAGTAACATTGTCCACAGACAGAACAACAGAACAACAGAAAGACATTTGCGACCGAAAACATTACCTTGCCCTTGGCGGAGGTAATAATAATAACAACAACAACAACAACAACAACAACAACAACAACAGCAACAACAAACTATCCTGAAATCTGCAACAATACTGTGAGAAAAAATGCATTGTTGTTTTGCAACAATGTTTGTTTTAAATATATTTTTTATTCTAGATGACTCTGAGCTGTTGTCAGCTTAAAGTGGCCTCCATGGAATCAGACGCTGAAAGTGGGAAACAAAACTAAATATTCATGCACTTTGAAATGATCATTAGGTCTGTCTTGTCAAAGATCAATCCACTGTCTAAATTTGTTATAAAACTATTTGCAGTGTTGATTAGTGTTCAGCCCTGGAAAAGTCAGTWTCAGCCTGCAGAGGAAGCACATCTACAAGTTTTGCTCATTTTCTTCTGAACGTCTCAAAGCCTTGTATAACCTCTGCTGTTTTGACTCACTGTATGGGACAAAGAATGGTTCTGTGCTTTGTCAGCATCAAACAGACACAACTGCAGTACACACAGACCAACAACCACAAAAAAAAAAAACCAAATGGCTCATGAGGCCCACTCACTCATCCACAGGTGTGATCAGATGCTGCCAAAACTCTGCTTTAYCTACAGTAGCCAAACACTAGGGACAAAGACAATAATGTGCTGTACTGCAAAACAAGGCAAAAATAAATAAAAAGATAATTTTAATAAAGAGTTGAAACGTGTCCAATTTTTTTTTACCCCCTCTGTCGGTTATGATGAACGGTATAAATCACGGTAATTTATTTAGTATTATTATTTTCTTTAATATAAAGACTTGGGCTAAAACTCACAAAAATATTTCGGATAATTTTAAGATTAATATGGGGAAAAAAAACATGCTAAATGTTAGATTTTTTTTGTCCAAGTTTGGTCACCATGTAGATTAAAATGAGGTTTTACTGCATCGTTTAGAGAAAAAAAATTGTTGATGCTCAGACTTTGTCTGATCATCAGCAGCAGCAGCAGCATGGACATTCATCATCTGTGAGAAATTTTGTACATGGGTTCCAGATATATTTTAATTCAAAATGCCACTGGGCACTGTTCAGGTCAAAGTTGAGAGGAGCTGCCAGCATGGGAAACAATTTTGTCAAAAAAAATATAATAATAATAATTTGCTCCTCATTTTAATGTCAATTTGCAGGATGGCAGTGGTGAATGTAATTAGAGTTACTTCAAGACCCACAGGCTGCTGCTTCCCTTGCTTCTGACATTTTGTTAAGATTTCAATATTTCCTCCCTTTTATTCATTGAAAAATAAATAAAATAATGTCACTGTGATAAAAAAAAATGGATGATATTGAATGAAATGGTCAGGAATGGAAGACTGGCATGCCTACAAATGGTTTCTCATGCTGGCTGGTGTAAACAGGTCCTGAGGAGTGGCTTATTAATCTGAGGAAGAGATTTTATGTTAAAATATTTTTTTTCTTGGCTGTTTTAAATTAAATATATTTTAAATGATCAAAGTTGTTATTTTTCAAGACTACGGTCAAACAGATACTTTAGTGTGTGATATTACATGCTCCAACTGTGTGGGTCAGTTTCCCAGTTAAAGTGAAACAAAAGCATCACCAACACAAGATCTGAACAAATACAGTTAAAGAAAAGTAAGAATATGAAACGAACAAAATATAAAAGTGTTGTGTCTGGAGAGTGAGATGCAGTTGTTTGTCATCTCTGCTAACAATTGGCCACTCCTGAGAACTGGCTCATTTAGAGGCACCAGAAATACAGATAAATCACAGAGATACACAGGATTTTTGTCTTCCACTGTCTGCCAGTATTTCAGTGAAACATTATAAAAAACACACCCAGTCACACACTTGCTCCCTCTGCTTTTTTCAGGGACCAGTTTCAGATGTTGTAACTAAATTAACTTTTAACTCAAAGCACACAACATAAAAGCCAACATGTCGTTCTCCTTTGTGTCTTTGCTCTTTAATAACACCTCACTCCTGGGGGTGCTTAATCACATGTCAACATAAAAACCTTCCACGGTGAAAGGCATTAAATGTCAGAGTTACAGTTCATTAAGATACTGCACTCAGTGCTGCTTTTAGTTCATAGTTTGAGCTGGTGACAGCTGCGGGTGCTGAATGCCAACCTGTGACCTCAGGAGGTACGTTCCAAATTAAACCAGAACTGAACTCTGGTATCGACAGAAGATACGTGATCCAACAGGGAGGTAAAAAAGTTAATTTGATGCAATAAATCTACCTTTAGAGTCTATATGTAAATTTATCTTCCTAAAACGAGTGTAATTTATGTGTTTTAAGCTGGATATAATGGCCATTTCAGGCTAACAGTGTTTTTAATGTTGGTTTTCTTAAATCATAATATGATAAATATCAGGTGCAAATCAGGTAATGGTAAAAATTACATGAACCACTTATAAAATGTTTGCCTCCGCTCTCTTACTTTTTCCATTAATGTCCTTGAAGGTATTAATAAATTAAGCTACTAGCTTAATTAGTGTAGCAATTCAGATACAACAGTCACACACTGCCTGGCTTCATGGGAGCAACATATGTTACATTATACAACAGCTGCACTGCTTGATTAGAAAATGTTCAGAGATCCAGGTTTGAGCGGCACGTGTCATGGCTGGACATGTCCTCCTAAATGTGCTGATGTGATGAACAGTTTACGCTGATTACTCCCACTACAACAAGACTTCCCAAATATGCAGAGTTTCAAGTTTAAAAAGAAAAATGCCAAAATGATGAAGCAGGAGGGCAAAAGCAATTTGACTAAAATGTGTACTGCTCCTGCATCTCATTTCCACATGACAATAGTTTTACTAATCTGTTTGCGGGGGTTTGTAGTAATTAAGTACATTTTAAAATCGTTACTTATACTTTGCTACATTTAAAACCTTAAAATTGTACCTTCACTTCAAAATGTAACACCAAGTTACTTGTTACAAAATTAAATCGGTTTGAAAATAAGTTGTTTATGCACTCTAAAAATTAAGTGTTGAATTTACTCAATGACATCATGTCAATTGGTTCAATTAAACCTAGTAAGAGTAAATATGAAACAATATACATACTTTCTTTAAAAGGAAAAAAAAATATCTAGGTTGCTCAAATTATTCAACTTGGTTTAATGGAGCCAGTTTAGTTAAGGAAATTTAACAGTTTACTTCTTAGACAGTGTGTAAAAATACTTTATCCCCCCAATTTTTGTGAACAGTTTTATGACTTTTACTTAAATACTTTGCTCATAAGTGAAATTTATTTTTACCCAAGTCATTTTCTGTTAAGGCATTTTTACTTAATTCTCCCCCACAAGTACTTTATAAAGAGGTTTGTGATGTGATTTGTGCAGAATGAGGAGCACAGAAGTAAAACTAAAAAAAAGTTTTTAAGTCAGCAGAACCAGACCCAATAACACAGAGCTGATGTGCAGGTAGAGGGAACTGAATATATAGAGCAGAGGTTGATGAGATATTGGAGGCAGCCAAGCTGATTGGAGAGTGGTAACAAGTGTGAGAGACTGACTGAGAAAACACTGAGGAGCTGACTGGGAGAGATATGAACTGAAGCAAACATTTACAAATAATAATAA